GGGGGGGGCAACTAGAATAAATTTTTAAAAAAAACAAACATCTTTATTCATTCCATTTATTACCAAATATTTAGAGGGGGGCACATGCCCCACCCTTTCAAAATTACTGGCTACGTGTAACTCTGATTGGAAATTAGTGTGCTGGTTTTTGCGGAGGAAGGAAAACCTGAAAACCCGGAGAAAAACCCTCAAAACACAGGAGGGAACCAACAATATTTATAACACTTCAGGTAAAGATCCATTCACCACGTTCATACTTCAGTATAATCGAACACGAAATCAAAACATCCCACCACACGCGTGAAATATACATGATACCACATCAATAGTCAACTCTGATTGGTCCAGATAAGGTTGTGAGCTATTCTAACTTAAATCACACAAAACTTTTGTTTAATAGAAACTCACGCGAACCCCACGAAAATCAAACATTTTATCACTCAGACGAATCTCTGTGAGAGCTCTATAAACCCCTCTTTAAAAGAGGCCTGATTTGTTTTTGTTGAAAATTTATGAAAATTCTTAAAAGCAACATTGCCGCTAGCATCTCGTCTAATGCTCAGTCTGATAACACACTGCAGGTAAGGACTTTTAAAACCAAAAAAAATAAATATTTCTTAAAAGAAATCTAATTACTTCGTACCCAGAAAAAAACTTGATTGGTTCTACTTCAGAAATTTGAATTTTCATTGTCCACTTTCGTATACAATTCAAAACTACTTACAGTTTATTATTAATGGTTTTTGTAATCAAACGTGTCAAGAGTAATTACACCTTAAAAAAGAATCTGGTTAGTTCTATCGTAGTGTGGTAAAATCCTAACAGCCTTGATGTAATAGATTTACTTCTTCATTGTTATGAATGTATTTGTTTTTCTAACTATTACTAGCCAGAAGAAATGCCTTGTTAGCATATATTTGAGAACTCATATTTTTGTAAACTGGAAAAGAGAGTGGTCAACGAAATGTTGTAAAAAAGTGTGTCAGCGGACTTTCCCTATCAAGTCAAACCGGCATAAACGTTAAGAGTTTTCAATAATGAATATAATGACAAAACTTTCGTATGAGTTTTGATCC